ATTCGTTCTTCCTAACGAAACCAAATTCATGCTGTTCTCAAAACTAGTGAAATAACAACATCTCCTTACGTCAGTCCTCAAATTGAACTCACTAAGGGCTCTGGCACGTTACATCTAGCGGCAGTCTAACGTATCAGGGAAGCTCTTATGGGCAACAGTTCAACTCTTCAATAAGTTTGGAACCACCACAGATGGAAAATTCGGGACTCGAAAGTTACAGTTACCCCAGGACAATTATCAGATGCAGAACTAAGTCTCCCCTTGTCAACTTTCGTACTGCCATAATGAAAAAATTGATGTGGAAACCTGATCGTACCCTCTCTAAAGGCTCCAATCTGCAGTGGCTGTGAAACCACTCGAATAGTCTACTTGGGACACTTTACAGGATCGAGCACTCAGAATAGAGCAAAAATTCTCTAAAAAGCGATTTTTCGAGTTCCATGCTTCCGAAGGATTGTTACAATGGAACCTTAAACCTAATAGCTCTCGGTTTCTGTGTTTTACACCCTGTAGGCAAGGGCAAATAAAAGCCCCACAAAACTTTGATCTCCTAAAAAAAGCAGAGCAGAAGGCCTGGAAACATTTTGACACGCCTCAGTTGCGTGCCACCGCACGCGCCATCCCCTTCATCTGAAGGCTCGTGTAAACGGGGCAGGTGGCAGATCTCAATTCTATTCTGGAATTACTTTGAGATAAGAGTTACAAATACTTCCCTGAAGTTGGTTTGTTCCATCAAGCTACTATGCGTTTTTAAAGACACAATATCTTGGTCCTCATAATTTTGGATCACCCTGTACATTACCGATTGGGTCCTCTCGGAGGAACATAGAGTTTGAGCTAGTTTTCCGATCGGCTGAGTTTCACTTACTGTTTCTCCCCCTTGACGAGCCTGTAGATAAGCAATCTCACCGTGAATATGGAAGAAGTACAATGACATTTTGTTCTTTAAAGCAGACAATTCTTCTTTCGAAACGGTAGAAACGTTATGTAAAAGGGTGAGATCTTATAGGAAAAATCTCCATTCATATAAAATCTACACTACTTATGGAATAATCAAACACAATTACCCTAAAATCCCATAGATAAGAGCGGTTTAATTTACCGGTGAAAAATGAATTGGAATGAAATTGAAATTGAATGCAGTCACCCCTCTAACTTGATGGATGGATAAATAAAAATCGGAGAAGAAGTTTAGAAGAAGCTCCGTCCCTCAACTCTAAACCCCGCCCACTTAATAAACAATTCATATAGAAAAATAGCGATTTTAACGGAATTTCTGCCGGAATCTCTCTAGAAATGCCGGAATTTGATCTCTGGATAGAACTTGAAGAGCCCATTCGATCAGTAAAATTCCATAGATAAGAGCGGTTTAATTTACCGGTAAAAAATGATTTTGAAAAAATATTTTTATTTTTATTTATTTTTGAAAAAATATCTATGGACCGCTCTTATCTATGGGATTTTAGGGTAGAAATATTAGTGAATGATGGTTCGGTTGCCGCAAATTTACACTTTTTTACTGTGATCGGATATCTTCTAGTTCAAAAGCAGCAATATTGACAATGAATATCAAAACAAGGGTCACCTGTTTATTCATTCGATCATGTACTTTCGAATAGGAGTAAGCAAGTCTAACGAACAATTCGTTATCTGGTGAAGGTGAATAACGCGTGAAGCGCTCCTCGTCGGATGATCGTCAAACGGGTAATTTACTGGAAGGTATTTTGTACTTTATGTTTTTCAGCAGAACTTATATACAGGGTTCACTTCATAATGCGTACCTAATGTTGTACCACCATGAAGGCTAGCAGATAAAATGAACGGGATTGATTTGGTCCATTTCATCACAGCCACCGTTTCCGGTTGAAGCTGTTCTGAGGGGAAATAATTGGGAAATCTGTAAAGCAGACTACTAGAACTAATTTATTTTAAACATTTCGCCGTAATTCCAACTCTATCTTTGTAAATATTAGCAAGTATTAGTACTCACCTGCTAGGAAAGTTCCTGTTCAAA